GTCCGTCCACTTCACAAAGGGGGCCCTAAAGATGATCCCAATAACTACCGACCTATCTCAATTTTGTCCCCATTGATGAAAATTTTTGAAAAATTATTGAACTACCAAATTAGCAGTTTCCTGTCCACCAACAATCTACTACATCAATCTGGGTTCCGAAAAAAATACAGCACCACATCTGCTGCATTAGACTCTTTGAATCAAATTTACAATAGCCTTGATAATAAGCAGTACTGTGCCTGTCTTTTTCTTGACCTGTACAAAGCTTTTGATATAGTAGACCACAATACCCTGCTTAATAAACTAAGTTTACTCGGTTTTTCCGTGAACACAGTACAATGGTTAAAAAATTACCTCTTTTCTCGCACCCAATCTGTACTCACAGATGGTTGGAGGTCAAATAGTGTTAAGATAACAAAAGGGGTTCCACAGGGTTCCATCCTCGGCCCCCTCTTTTTCTCTCTTTATCTCAATGACTTGGGCACTGACCTGGATCATTCCAGGGTAAATCTTTTTACAGATGACACGATACTGATTACTGCTGGCCGCTCTCCGGATGATGTGATTGCTAAGCTCCAGGGTGATTTCAACAAACTACAACATCAGCTAGTTTCTCTTAAACTAGTCTTGAATACCTCCAAAACCAAGGTGCTATGCTTCTCACCGGGACTAAAGCAGGAAGTAATTTTCCCCCAATTACATTCCTTGAATAATTATCAAATAGAGCAAGTCAAGATCTATAAGTATCTTGGGGTCATCCTGGATTCAAAACTTAATTTTGAAGATCACATTGATTATTTTGGTAAAAACACAAACATAAAACTTGGTTTTCTGTATCGACACAAGCACTGCTTCCCCCCAATGTTCCGTTTGGAATTGATAAAAGCTACCATACTGCCTCTACTTGACTACTGTGACATCGTGTATAAATCAGCCCCAAGTACTGTACTGAAGAAGCTTGATTCCATCTATCACTCAGCCTTAAGATTTGCATTGAACTGCCCATATAGGACTCACCACTGTGATCTCTACATTGGGTCAAACTTAACATCTCTTAATGTTCGACAGCTTGTGCACCAGATCTTATTTATTCACGATGTACTTACAAAAAAATCCGCAGACTACCTACTGGATCTCCTCTCTGTTTCAAAGAACAAACTTGACCTCAGGTCTTCGCTCATTTACCAGCTTCACATTCCCTATTGCCGTACAAAAACCGGAGGAAGGTCCTTTGCTATTGACGCCCCCAGGATCTGGAATGCTATTGCCAATAAACTGCAACTTGAATCACTACCTATGAGATCTTCACTCAAAATGCTCTCGAGGAGTTGTACACCCCTAGCTGCCACTGCTATTCAGTGGCCTAAAATATGGCTCTAGATTTTGGTGTTATAATTTATTTACGTAGTTTATTGTTAAAATTCGGTCACAGTCCCTATGATCACTGTTACATTGCATTTATGGCTTTCATTTTCGGTGATTTCGAAAACGTTTTTTTTGTTTGGCCATGTTTTTGTTTATTGTAGTACGGAGTTAGACTGATGGCCTTAATCTTAGTTGTCTAGTGGTTGTTGTTGTTATTTGACTTGCATCCCACTGGGATTTTTGCACACAGCGTTGGTGTACGGTGCTATTTCAGGAATATTTTGATGTTTTTTTCCTGGATTTTCTGTTTGCACAGTCACATAATCACTTTAAGATGTTTTCTTGTTCATGTTTTTGTTTGTTGCGGTTGCACCCGATTCAAGAGCCGAATGGCTCACAGGGCTATACCAAATAAATGAACTATGAACTATGAGTCAGTTGCGATGGTCGTCGAAACTACCACAGAGCCGGAGCTCATTAATCCCAGAGAGATCGATGGATAAATTGAGCGCTCGATCTAAATTTGAACTCGCGGGTCTTGCCCTATAACTTTAACACCATCCGGCTAGTTTGCTTCACATAGACAAAGACAAAGATCCCCCCGTGCAGCCTAAATAGGCGGTTGGGCCAAGGACTGTAAGCGGGCAGCTTTTATAGGTCGGCACTGCGCGTAAGGAGGTGGGCGTGACGTCGAACTCCACGCCCGTCCGCCTTTGTCTCCAGAGTGCCGATGCTCCCACGCCGCACGGGGGACTAATTTAAGGCTTAAATATTACAGGGAGACCCAAGGCCCGTTTCAGGGAAGCGTCTCTGACGTGAGCCCTGGCGGCGGGCAGCGCAGCGAGCTGACCGCTACGCCAACCCACTGCGCCGCTCTGAAACGCACGGCGATGCGGCACGATATACACCGAACCCCGTGCAGTCAATAAAAAAAAACTGCAGCTTGATGCGAAGTGACCTCACGTGCACAGCGCCGAGGCAATCACCGCGATGGGAACGTCAATGCTGTCAAACGTAATTATACGTCCGACGCAGGGAGCTGTGCCGGCCACGGGATTGCCTGCAGCGCCGTGTGCTCTCTCCCCGCACCCCCACCCCGCTCGCCATTATTTCCATCGGCCCTGGGTACGCCGTTGATGTCACCGCTGTGTCCGAGTGGCGTCTTGGCGAGGACTCAATGTGCGCGCCGCGGCCCTCGGGACCACCCTAACCCCCCCCCCCCACGCTGGGCCGCAGGGTCGGCAGTCGGGGGGGACGGTGGCGGGAGAGTCGCCAAAGAGGGAAGGTAAACGAAGGGACAGTCCCCCTCTGCGTGGTGGCGGCGGCGAGGAGTGAGCCGTGGTCGGTTCGGCCGGCCCCCGCTTTTACAGTCGCCGAACCTGGCGGCGCGGCCGGGCGACAAACAGGCGGCCTCACCCTCCCCCCCCCCCCCCCCCCCCCCCCAATAGCCACGGGAAAGAAAACCAAAATAGTAATAATCTGCGTCATCAGCTGTGAACGTTGGGGGTGCTGCTGCTGCTGCTGCGAGCGAGCGGCGTTCGGATGATGACGCGTGACCGCCCCGGGCGCACCGCGGCGTCGCTGTCCGCGGTGCTGAAAGTGCGCGCGGGGATCTGGCCCTGCTGCCACGGCCCCATGCGGCTTTGAACGTTTCCTCGCTCGGCGATTGAAGTTCGCTCTTGCGGGGTCTCACGGGTGACCATAGTGCAGCAAGCTGGCCACCCACTCCCTTCGTGTGCCGCGCCGGCCTTCGTACGTGCTGCTGCTGCTACTCGCGAACAGCAGTTCGCCCCCAACAGTCTGTCAGAGGCCAAACGGGGAATCTGTGTCTTTGTGAGTGTGTCATTTCTTTGATTGTGTTCGCCGTTATGATTTGTATGTTTTTATTTTTTTTTCTCCGGATCAGATCACCACGTGAGTTTAACGTCAATGTGTGTCGTACACCCTTCTACATCCGGCTGACAAAGGACACCTTCAAGCCTGGTGCAACTACATTGTCTCAATATCTAACGTTAGTATGTACGTTCAATTTATTTCGCACTGTACGTAACCAACCACGCTAATCGGAGGTGTGGGGGAAGGACAAGAAACTGAAAATACAAAAGCTGTTCTAAAGAAAGGAGTTTTCAATGTAGTATAGAGGTGTAGTGTACTATACACTAGTGTAGTGTAATAGCAGTGTAGAGTATAGTAATGTAGCAGTGTAATGCATAATATATGTACGTATGCTGAACTTCTTTCGCACCGTGCGTAGCCAACCGCGCTAATCGGAGGTGCGGAGCGGGTAGGGACATCAAACTACACACACACGCGTAAAAAAAAAAAAAAACACGGTTTATCAAACAAATCTGTACGAGACGCAGCTCTGACAGATTTCACGCTGGCGTTGAAAACAAACGAACCAAGTCTCACTCCGTGATGAGAGCAAACGTTCGCGTGATAATGGAACGGCGCTGAACCCTTTTTTTTGGTGATGAATGTGGCGTTTAACCACGTTCATCATCGCCGTGGAAACCGAACATTGGCATGCACGCTGCGTCGTGCTCTCTCTCACGCAAGCCCCGACGTTTTCCGCCGGCTGCGAGGTGATGGATTCCTGCTGTCTGGAAACGTTTTTACAATTATCAAGATGCGGAGGGGGGGGGGGATAAAAAATACTTTCCTGTAGTTAGCACAATTTGAAATTGTCATTGAAATAATTAATTTCATTTACCCGCTGACATTATTAGTGGACCACACGCTAAACTCCCTTCCCGTGGGACTCGAAGAGGCGCCGTACCCCAGCTCGCCAGGAGAATGCGGTACAGGGAAATAAATGTCGATTCCACCTGCTCCGTCCGTATGGGCTATAGTGTTTCCCCCTCGGCCGTGTGGGTTGTCACTGGATGCTCCGGTTTCCTCTCAAATGTAAACATTCATTGACTTGTTTAATAACACCTTAATATATAGAGGACCGCTGAGCCTGGGAAGCTGTTGGCACCGGCTCATTGCATTGGCTGCCTTCCTGCTCGTCTGTCGCTCCTCGCGGCGCCTCTGAGTCATCCTCTCGCTCTCCCTACGAGAGTGATTACTCATGGCCAAGCGAGATAACCAAACAAGGGCCGGTGCTGTGGCCGTTTTCATGTTTGTTCAGCGAGACCGGCAGTGGTAATCGCGTAACGATCGTTGCCTCTCGTGAATGTGAGGCCCCCCCCCTCCGCCGCCACCCTCAAGCCGTGAGCGCGCGTGGCTCAGCGAGCTGCAGCTCGCTCAGCCATGAGCCTCGTAATTTGGCCGCCTATGCTGCCCATCGGCGGCATGGGGTTTCACTCGCTCCGCACTTCCCTCGCTCATCCCCTCCCCAACCCCATCTCACCCCCCCCCCCCCCCCCCCCCCCCCCCAAGTAGGAGCGGCACAATGTCCGGAGCAGCAGAGCTCGTCGGATCTCCGCGCTGCCCCCTGCATCGCTGATTTAAATTTACAGCCGGAACCCGGGAGCGGATCGACCCCCCTCACATACTTCGCTCCGACGTCACATTGCGGTGCCCCACGGAAGGCCGAGTTATCCGCTGAGCGTGGATGCATTGTGGGCGAATTGCCCGTGACGGTGGTGGGATTGTTTTTGTTTTTTTGTCTTTTGCCTCCTCTCTTTCAGGGAGTGAGCGTCCCTCTGGATTGCGAGAGGGCCTCGGATCGCCGTCGGGAGAGGCATGAGCAAGGCCCAGGCATCGCAACCCAAGCCACCGCTGTTTTGCTGACGAAGCAATCGCCCTCACGACAACGGTCGCCGCCTCATATTCCACGAAGGTTTTGGCGAGCGAAGCGACGGGAAAAGCAGTTTTCTGAACCACCGCTCGGTCGACCAAATTAACGTAACTTTAGCGGCGGCTTGAAATTCGATTGCGGCGGCAGAACAACTCGAATCTCGGCCAAGCCTTCGTTGAGACCCGTAGCGAAAGCATCGGGAAAAAAAACCCAACCCCCATCGATCCGTCGAAGTAACGAAGGCGTCGGGCACGGAGGGCTCGTCATGGAGGAGGCGAGGGACCGTCCCGCGTTCCTGCAGGGGGCGCGCGACATCGCGCGCGAGGTGAAGCGGCAGGCGGCCAAGAAGGTCGGCCGCGGCTCCGACCAGGTCCAGGACCATTACACGCGGCGCTCGTACTCGCACTTCACGGGCGACGAGGACGACGACGACGACGACGACTGGAGGGCGGACGCCAGGAACGCGCGCAGTGACGGGCGGCCGCAGCCGCCGCCTCCCGGCGCGAGGGGGGACAGCAACGAGGAGGGGTCGAGCGACGCCACGGAGGGGCACGACGACGAGGCGGACGCGGAGGGATACGAGGGGGAGTACCAGGGAGCCTCCGACGGGGTCAAGGTCGCCCACGCCACGGTAGCGAAGTCGCGGGGGCCCCGGGGGGCATGGCGCGGATTTTTTTTTTTCTCCGGATCCTCCGGTTTCGCTTCGGAAAAAAAGATCTGTATAGCTCAGTGTGCCTAACCTGGTGAAATCAAAAATAATGGTGAATCACCCCCACCTCGGCTAAAGGGGCATTCACACACAAAATATGTGGTGCGGTGGGTAGTGAACATCGCCACGAGGGAGACAAAAGTGGCTGGCTATGTGGAGCTGCCTACCCACCCCCTCGTGTGCCGTGCCGGCCTTCATAGTTGTTACTCACTAACAGCACTTGCCCCTACAAGTCTGCTAAGGCTATATGGGGGACACTTGTCTTTGGTTAGCAAACTGCACTGAAAACCCAGTGCCAAAGTTTGACTCCAGGCCACGGCCATCATCAATTCCATATATCTATAAAGGTCCTGGGTCGCTCTTAGGTTAATTCAGCCTTAAATGTGTACCTGGTGCAGTGTGTAAGCATCAGCACTGGGGAGATAAAGGCGACTGGGCGTGGTGTTGGCCACCCACCCCCTTGTGTGCCATTCTGGCCCTTGCCCCAAAAGACGTGTATAGGTTGTACGGGGATCTTCGTCTTTATGTGCACAAGAGAAGGATCCCCCATATAGCCTGAACAGACTCCTGGGACAAGTGCGGCACACGAGGGGGTGGATGGCCAACACCACGCCCGGCCGCCTTTGTCTCCCTAGTGCCGATGTTTTACCGCACCAGGTACTCATTTGAGGCTGAGTCGACCTAGGAGAGGAGGGGCAGGACTGGTTCAAATAATCGTCACTGGTGTTGGCCGTGAGCGGGAATCGAACTCGGGTCGCCAGGTTCGTAAGCGCAGCGCGCTTACCACCGCACACACACAACACACACACACACACGTACAACGCACACGCGCTCAAATACAGCGTCCTCTTACTTCCCACAAACCCCCTTCTCATCTGTGGAACACGGTTGCCCCCTTGTCGGCATACGTGTGCAGGAGCCGAGCAAGAGCGCGTCCTGGGACACGGAGGCGGGCAGGCGGAGCGATCGCGAGGAGCTATCGCAGCAGTACGAGCTCATCCTGCAGGAATGTGCCCACGGCAAGTTCCAGTGGAGCCTCTTCTTCACGCTGGGGCTGGCGCTCATGGCTGACGGCGTTGAGATGTTCGTCGTGGGGTTCGTCCTGCCCAGCGCCGAGAAGGACATGTGCCTCTCGAGCCAGAACAAGGGATGGCTCGGTGAGTGAGCGTAGAACCCGCCGGAAAGGTGTTTTTGTTGTTTTAGTTGTTTTTGTTGTTGTTAGAGGAGCGAGGCAGTATGACAGGTGAAGGCCTCCGTTGAGGTCGTCATTTGTGACCCTTTCTGAGAGCTCCTCTGAGGTTCCCTTTCTGGGCGCCCCCGCGTGCCCTCCACACACAGATGTGCGGCCCTGGGAAAGTGCTCCACTGCTGCAATGCAGCCACGCAGCTGCAGGCTTACGGCGGCAGCGATTTACCGTGCCTTGCCCTCACCTGCCGAGTTGTTAAATTGTCACGATTCCGCGTAACGATATGATAAAAACAAATGTTTTCTTCTTTACTACTATTATTGCGACGAACGGTCTCGCAGTTGGAGGCTTGATGAAAACCTTTTGCACGTGACATTTAAATTGTAACACATGGATTATCCCGCACGTGATTCAACGTATGTATCATGGGGTTAGGAATAAGGATGAATCGATGCATCTCTCCACCGCTCCACGAGACCCAGACATTTATGCCGCCAACAGCCTTTTGTGACGCAGTGGATGTAACGGGAGTATCGCTTCCTGTCGAGACTCTGTTCTACTCCTGCCTGTGGTGGCAATGCGTTCAGGAGCTAGATGCGAATGCCGAGGTCTGTCTGCCGGCCACGACGAGAGGGCTTCAGAAGAGAGAGAGATTGTTCGTATAGTCTTGTTCTTCTTCCGCTCCTCCTCCTCCTCAGTTGAAAGGATGCTGACCACAGTGAGGTTCACGATACGGTCCATAGTTTTGGGTTAGCATGTCCACAATCGCACTCCTGTGCGTCGTCTGAAAAAATTTCCGCTGATAAAGGCGGGAGACGGTCGCCTCCCCGCAGTGGCTCCACCTATTGTGTGTTTCTGAGTGTGTCATCTCCGGGCACTCCGATTTTTTTTCCTCCACATTTAGAATCAACACGCGTTTAGAGTATTTGGCTGCTATAAATGTCCACACGATGATAAGCCACTTCGTTGGGCTATCATTTGTGGCCAGGTCGCTGCTGAAAAAGAGCTATACAGCCCAATGGGCCTTACCTGGTAAAATATTTAAATATATAAATATAGTTTACTGCGCTGCTCCTGTTAAACACTGCATGAACATTAAACATTTCCCTTGTCGGGCACATCAGGAGATATATATTTTTATTTTATTTTTATATTCCAGAAAGTCAAGTTTTCTTGACGTTTAATTAAAAGTAGTTCCCCTCTCTTTTCCCGCGAATCTTATTTTAAGGCTGGTCACCGATCAAGTGAGAACTTCGTCACTTATTGTGCTTGCCATTTGCGTGGTGCATACCTGTCAATCCCTTATCAGTGCCCTTACCTTATCAATTCAGACCTTATTGGTCACCCCGTGCCCCTTATAAATCTCAACGTTCATCCTACAAAGTCCCATAACAGGTGAGAAACACAAACAGATAAAACATTGGTTTGCCCGTATTGAAACGGCTGTATGCCGTATGGACCTGAAAACTCAATTTCCCTGTACAAGAATACGGGGTAAACCGTATGGGTTGACAGCTGTGGTGTTGAAGTCTATCCCTTAGGCTGTGCCACCGCCGCCACCACCACCGCCACCACCACCACCATCACCACCACCACCACCACCACCATTACCACCACCACCGCCACGACACCCTCAGAGTGGGAGCCTCGCCTCTGGGTGCCGCGTGCCCCCTCTCTCATCATCGTGCAATTTTCACGTCACTCACCGGCAGGCCGCTTTTAATTGCCGGGCTGCGATGAGCACGAACAATTATAATGTCTGGAATTTCGGATTTATAATGGGGGGGGGGGGGGGGGGGGGGGGAGAGTGCGTTAATCGCTAATCAGTCACGCATTATGGCGGGATCAAAAAGGCGTGGGCAGCTTTGAAACGATCCTCTGTCGTTTTAAACAATGGCTCGGGGGCTTTATAATTGCACGGTGCCACAGTGTTGACCGAGTGGGAATTCACGCGACGTCGGACAGATGATTCACGCGACGGGGGACGCACGTAGCCTCGGGGGCGGGGCAGGGGGGGGGCATAGATGCAACGCTCTCGAGGTAACCGAGAGGCTCGGGAGGGGGGGGCTTAGAGGGCTGAGCTGGCAAAGCCGAGACTCCGGGCCGAATGCCACGTGTCGCCCTCCTGGGAATAAAGCGGGGTTCTCAAGTGTACACCAATTGATGGAGATGTCTTAATCACTTTTGGCTGTATTGCATGAAATCCATTACGGTGCGCGCATGTGTATGCGTGTGTGCACGTGTAAGGAGAGCGGTGACGCCGTGGTTAATGCATTGCGCCACGAACCCGGCCATCCGAGTTCGATGCCCGCTCATGGCCGACACCAGTGACGATTATATTATTGGAACCGGTCTTGGCCCTCCCCTAGCTCGACTCAGCCTTCAACTGAGCACCTGCTACGGTGTGTGGACATCGCGACTGGAGAGACAAAGGCGGCCGGGCGTGGAGCTGACCACCTACCCGCTTTGTGTGCCTTGTTGGCCTTCACAGCACTTATCCCAACAGTCTGTTAAGGCTACACGGTGGATCTTTGTCTTAGTCTTTGTCTTGTGGGTGCGCGTGTGTGTGCGCGTGTGTGTGTGTGTGTGCGTGTGCGCGTGTGTGCACCAGGCGGATTCGTGTATGTGGGGATGATGCTTGGCGCCGTGTTCTGGGGCGGCCTGGCCGACAAGATCGGCCGCCGGCAGTGCCTGCTCATCTCGCTCTCCTTCAACGGCTTCTTCACCTGCCTCTCGTCCTTCGTGCAGGGATACGGGGCCTTCCTCTTCTGCCGCTTCCTGTCGGGCATCGGGTACCGCTCGCTCTCTGCTCGCTTTCCGCTCGCTCTCCGCTCGCAACACGGGGACCAGGGCGGGGCGGGCACATATAGCGGGGCCGAGGAGGGGGTGCTTGCCTTAAGCGTGGCCCCGAGTGCCGTGCAACGCCACACGACTGGAGTGGCCGGTGTGTCGGCGCGCCGTGTCGAGCGTGTGCGCGTCTGTTGGCTCGCTGCGCTCCACCAGGATCGGCGGGACGGCGCCGGTCGTCTTCTCCTATTTTGCGGAGTTCCTGTCGCGCGAGAAGCGGGGCGAGCACCTGAGCTGGCTGTGCATGTTCGGCATGATCGGAGGCATCTACGCATCGGCCATGGCCTGGGCCATCATCCCGCACTACGGTAACGGACGCCGGCGCACAGCTACCCGAGCGCACGCACCACCCCTCCAACGCGTTGCGCAGATCTCGTCAAGCTCATTTGCCTACGACTGGCACGGTTGGCTACGTCGGGTGCGAAATAAGTTCAACACATGCGTGTAGATAACGAAGCCAAAGTTCACATGCCCCCCACCGCCCCCCTCCCATATAGCTGACACATTTGTGGCTGGAATTAAATCCCAGGTGACAGGGTTTATAACGCAGAGCACAAACCACTACGCCGCCTTTCTCCATGGGGGGACAAAGATCCCCCGTACGATGCTAGTTTTCATTACTGGTGATACGAATTGTAAATGCTGTGGGGTTACTCTTCAACACGCCGGTGTGCTGTACTAGTAACGAATTGGCATGTTTTGTGTTTACGTGACAAACCTTACTAATTGGCTGTGTCGGGTGGTGGCGGGTTTAACGACGCATTTATATATTTACGCGTTCTAACCCCAAAAACAACCTCCCATGGATATTTTTGGTCGCGAAAGCCTCCCGCCACGCGTTAAACCGTTGGGGGGCAAGTGCTGTTAGCGAGCGCCTGTGAAGGCCGCGTGCGGCACATGGAGGTGGGTGGCGGGGCCAGCAACCGCGCCCGGCCAGTGTCCATATTTACACAAGGTGCTCGCTTAAGGCCGAGTCGACCTAGGGAAGACCGAGGACCGGTTCCGATTGCTTTGCCATTGATATTGGCCATGGCCGGAATCAGATTTGGGGGGTCGCCAGGTTCCGCAGCGCGGTGCCCTCGCCTCTAGGGCTACGCGCCCTACCCCCGACCCCGGCACGCGCACAGCCCCATCCACACAACGCGTGCGTGGTCCTAAGCAGGTGCACGTGCACTCCATCCAACACGCGCGCGGTCTGTGCAGCGCCGCATTCCCCCCTCGTGAACGCGAGAAGCGGCGGCCCGGTTGTGAACAAAGCGCTCGGCCGAGGTGCCGTGGCACTCAGGAGCTCTAATTGAATCCACCCGGTCCTAAAGAGCGCCCCCTCTATTTACTTTCGGCTTGTCCCTAAACACTGCGGAACACCGACGGAACACAATTACCGGCCGTATGGATTTTCCCGTCTGCTCCGCGGATGTGATTATACGCCATCGATTTCTTCCGTTCAAGCCAGCGCGCCCGCGTGCACCCGCCGCTTTGCACGGCCCGGGGTAGAAGGAGGGTAGGGGAGCGCGACGCGGGAGGATTCGAGGGGAGTGCAAATGGAGAGAGTGAGCGATAGGCGCATGCTGGCTGGAGGTCCGCTGAAGTTCTCTTTGGCCAAGGTCCGAGCGGCTTGACGGTGGAGTGCGGTCGATAAAGCGCCTTCCGCGTGGGGGTGGTTTGTTGTTGTTGTTGTTCGCGTGTGCGCCGTTGAAACGTCCCTCCGTGTGTAAAACCGGCGGTGATGGACGCGGCCGGGTTTTTCGTGAAAGGAGCTGCCGTAAACGGATCCATTGGGCGTTCTCGTCCACAGCCGTGACGAATTCCAATGGTCTCGGATCTGGTGGCATTGTTGGAGCACAAAGCGGGGATTAAGATGAGGGGCGTAGTGAGTGAAGTAAAGGTTTAATCGTGACGTTCGCACAAAAGGTGGACATTGAGAAAGGGCAGCGGTGTTCGGAGACAGCGGGCAGCACTCGCGTGGTTACCAGGGTCTGTCCCGTCAACTGCCTGCCAGCGGACTCGAGGTGCACTTAGCCTGGCACAAGCGCCGTGGTTATTGTTGTTGTTGTCATGTGCTCGTACGTCGCGTGCGTTCGTGCGTACGTGGTGGGTGCATGGTGCATGTGTGGTGCGTGCGTGCGTGGTGGGTGCATGGTGCGTGTGTGGTGCGTGCGTACGTGCGTGCAGGCTGGAGCTTCAGCATGGGCTCCGCGTACCAGTTCCACAGCTGGCGCGTGTTCGTCATCGTGTGCGCGCTGCCCGCCGTCTCCTCCGTCGTGGCGCTCACCTTCATGCCCGAGAGCCCGCGATACCTGCTCGAGGTAGTGCCCCATCCCCCCCCCCCCCCCTCCACACCGATCGTTTCTTTGCCTTTTGTCTTTTTACTCTCGCTGCGCCGTGATGATGCGACGATCCCACCCCGGCACTTTTGCAGGGGCAGCGTGCGTGGTCCCTGGAGCGTGCAGCCCAGCCAAGAGATCATTTTCAAGGCACTTCTGAGAAAGCCTTCGAGTGCCATTTTGATCCTTTACACCAGGGGCGAGAGAACGCTTTACTTCTGAGGACCAAGTCTATCGGTTTCTATCGATGGGTAGCTATGTATCTCAGTGGGTCTCTATGTGAGTCTGTGGGTCTCTATATAGCTCTATGGGTAGCTATGCAACTCAGTGGGTCTCTGTGTAACTCAGTGGGTCTCTACGTGAGTCTGTGGGTAAGTGGGTCTCTATTTAAGTCAATGGGTCTCCGGTAATCGGGCTAAGAAATCGTTTATTTTCCACCGGCAGATGCAATCCCTTTGCGACCTCGGGGAATCACAGCGGTGTTGGCGCAGTGTGCCTCTGCGCTCGGCCACCTCAGCTGCTGCCCTCACGGCTAGCCACTGTTTCATCTTTGTTGGACGAATCGGTGTTGCGGGGGTGCTCTGCCACTCCTGTTCATCGATTGGAGCCTGGCGGGGGGGGGGGGAGGCGGGGGGGCGGGAAAGGGTTTCAGACAACGGTTCAATTTACGCGACACAATTTGTGGATGGGCGAGGCAGTCCGGGGTCCTGCTAGGCGATCACGGTTAATTGGACAATCAATAGCACTTTGATGGGGAACGATGTGAATGGTCACACCTGGCGCTGCCGCATCGCAAATAGACGCTTGCCCCCTCTCGCTCTCTCCCCCTTTAACAATTTCCCACCGTTCCGAGACGTATGCAAGTTGCAGGGTGAGTGGGTGGGTGTCCTGTTCACCACTGAATCTCGGGACACGCAAGCGGCTCAGCGGTACATTTATTTAGAGAGGCGTAGCACCATATTTTAAGACGTTGTACTTACCGCAGAGAATGGTAGCGACATTATCGAGCTCTACGATAGCCGGCGCAAAACTGTGCCACACGCCCTCCTGCATGGCCTTGTGGAAGCCTCGGTACCAATAAACGTATTATCTATTCGTTTTTTACGGTTCCGTTTTGATGACGTGCATGTACGTAAGTCATCGGAACAGGAAAGGGTTAAGTGCCAAACGCAATAAAATATCGTCTGTTACTTACTCATTGTATTCTTTAGCTTGTCCCACAAGATTTTATTCGAATCGTGTAATCCGTGTTTTGTCGAGAGATGAATAATCCAGACTGGTGCGGTGCCTTGTGTTGGAGAAAGCCCCCACAGAAGCAGGCACCACAGAACTAATTCTGACGTCCCTGCAAGTGACGAGTGGTCCACAACTGGGGAGGCGATGCACTTCCCCACGCACGCACGCACGCTGCTCTGGAGAGAAGTGACCATCGCGTGACAGTCGAACCGATCGTTTTAAGTCTCGGAGACATAATTTCGATAAGTTACGTGCAGAACCAAATTGAATATTAAGGAGCTTTTTGTTGTTGTTGTTGTAGTCTGGTCACCGGTTTGACGCCAACAACCACCCTGCACTTGAGAAACTCGGGTTTATAGCAGGTGGCTGAAACCCGGATTTGAACTTATGATCTCAACCGTGCCGGTCGTCGCTCTCTGTAATTAATTATTACGATGAATATAAAAATGATTTAAATAATGAGATGGACGGCATGCGGACATTTACGACAGAAAAACCTGTATTTGTTGCAAATATTGAGCTTCTCACTGCAGCTTGTGTGTTGCAGGAGGCTCGAGCGTGCAAAGGGTTAAAGCCTCACAATCAGTAATCCACTCTCTTGTTCCCTCTCCTCTTAGTGTTCCGCTCTTTTCAGGGCTGCTCAGGAAATTGATGTTGCAAATAATTACGTGTTTGCCTCGGCAGTGCCACGCCAAGCCTTTTAACAATCATTGATTTAGCTCTAAATGTTGCAGTCATTATTGTTTGCTACGCTTAAAGGTTGTTCCAAATTGCTTTGAACACCGCTGCTCCCGTGGGTGAAATGGACATGTCTGTACGTATGTTGAACCTCTTTCGAACCATACGTAGCCAATCGTGGAAATCGGAGGTGCGGGGGGCAAGGACAAGAAATTGAACACAAAAAGCAGTTCTAAAGAAATGAGTTTTCAATCTAGATTTCAAAGTGTATAGCTCCAGTTGCCGCCTCATGTCGGACGGAAGAGCATTCTAGACGGCCGCGGAAGTGTATCTGAAAGCACGCAATGCGGTGGCCATCTTTGTTCGACGGTTAGCCAAAAGCCGCTGCTGCGAGGATGGCCGGAATTTGCGTGATGGTGGTTTATGCTCCTCAATGAGATCAGTAAGCAGGGTGCAGGAGGAGGATGGTGGGTTAATGTTATAGATCGTGGCACCCAGAGGTCGGTGAGCCAAGGTGAAGAGCCAATCCAAAACTATAAAACTATTCAGCTATATTTTATTTGAAGCTATTTTTATTATTTTACCAGCTAAGGCCCACTCAGCGATATAGCTCTTTTTCAGAAGCGACCTGGCCACAAATGATAGCTCAACGAAGTGGCTCGTCATGTGGAAATGTATAGCAGCCAAATAATCTGAACTAAGTTTTCTAGAGTAGAGGGATAAATCGGAGGACCCAGGGAAAAATCCACGTGACCACAGGGAGAGAGACATGCAAACTCCAAATCTACAGCAGGCGTCACGGTCGGAATCGAACCCACGACCTTCTGCATACCAGGCAAGGGAGTTAACATCTTGCTAACGCGGGCATCCCTGACGGCGGAGATGAGGCTGCAAGCATGGTCCTTGCCGGACTTGTTGAATACGTAACCAAGGGAAGATCTAAAAGCCAGTTTCAACATCCCAAGTTGATTTCGTGTGACCAGGCGAGAACGCAAGAGACCAGGATTATTAGCGTCTCATTTGCCGAAATTACAAAAGCCAAAACACGGATGGTTGGGGGCGAGCTGCCATCAGTGACCTCTGTGCAGGTTATGGTTATTCACCTGGCAGTGATTTAATTTGCGCGGAATTTATGATCCTCTGTCAAAGCGGATTGTGGGGGAGTAATAGACAACTTTAAAGACAGTTTCACCACAGAAATCACATCTACTATCGCACCTCCGGATTTGCGCTGTTGACTACGTACGGTGCGTAAGAAGTTCAACATACATCAATAATCTATGCCTAGAGCTTCCTGGCTGGCTGCTGGCTGGGTTTCTCTCCACTCCAACGATGACTGTTGGTAGTGGCTGCTGTGGGCCGTTGCCACCGAAACTAGCTGGGTTAGCTGGCCAAACGGAGTTTTCCGTGTAACAAATAAGCACTGAATTAAAGGGGTGAACAAGTTCTGGAGATATATTATAGACGGCGACACCGAAGAGGTGGGAGTAATAAATACAGAAGACTGACACGCGTTAATTATTTTACCAGAAAATTATTTGAATGATAGAGAACGTAAAAAAAAAACCTCATGGTACGCATTATCTTGCCATTTTACGACGTAAAAAAGCGGATTACTTTTAGTGCTCCGAGTACAGGAGGGTTGTGAGAAGAACATGAACATTTAAGCTGTCTCTTATATTCCGGTGCAGATAAAAGGGCTCTCTCCTCCTAAAAAATACACATTATTCGGTCCAACGGGCCTAATAAGGCCCTTCTCGACCATGTTTACCCAGCAGCATTTGTCAAAGCAAGCAAAAACCGTGGACCGGTTTTGATTTGCTGAGCCTCATCGGCAGAGGTGTCACCTCTTGAAACAGAAACCGCTTTCCATTGCCTAGGCAATCAATCGCGTAGACTGCCATGATGCCGATGTGGCACTGCCGTGCCATGTGCGTGTGCGTGCGTTCCAGATGGGCAGGCACGACGAGGCCTGGATGGTGCTCAAGCAAGTCCACGACACCAACATGAGGGCCAAGAAGCAGTCTGAGAAGGTCTTCACCGTAAGTAACCCCCACCCCCAAGTGCTGTCGGCGATGACCTATTTGAGGCCGGCACGGCACACGAAGTGGCTGGGTGGCCAGCACCGCAGCCCTGCTACCTTTTGCCTCCCTATTGGCGACGTATAGCCGTCGTGCCAAGTACTCATTTGAGGCTGAGTCAACCGAGGGGAGGCCCAGGAGCGGTTCAGATAATCGAACTCGGGTCGCATCGCGCCCAGCCACTACGCGACCGCTGCCCGATGCACGCGCCCAGCGCAGCCAGTTCCAAAGAAATGAGTTTTCAATTAGATTATTTAAAAGTGCACAGCTCCAGTGGCTTCCTAATATCAGAAGGAAGAGCGTTCCAGACGGCCACAGAGCCGCATCTGAAAGCGCCGCGCAATTCCGTCCGACAGTTCCCCAATTACTCCACGCATAGGCCTTGATTAATTAACGTGCAGCAGTTTATAATTGGTATTCAGTGTGTCGAATTACAGCGCATCTCCCGCTGCACGAGGGCGCACCACCACCCCTCCCCCCGCGCTTCGTGCGGCGGTCACTTTTCCAGAGCAGCCGCCCGCCTCGTCCCGCTAATGGGGGTCACGGCGAGGTCGCAGCAGCCTCATATTTTTTCATTCGTTTAGCTCAAAATCAATTTATCGGTCGTCGCTGGTGATGCACGATGCCGGGAGGGGGGAGGTGGGGGGGGGGGCGGGGCGGCCTGTAAATATTTGTACCATGTACCGTCTCGGTGTTTATTTTTAGTTCACCGAGGGCTGCATCGTGCGAACGCTTATTTAGCGACGTCGCGGCAAGCGTTTGTCATGAGAAGGGGAGAGTGCGCGCGCACGCCGAGCTCACAGCGCTTGGAGGGGGGCGCAGCCTCCAATTAAATACAGCCCCACGCGCAGCCCTTTTGTCCATCCACTGCTGGTCGGTGCTGGTTGGTAAATGCAGGGAAGCACGGACGTACCATACGTGGCTTTTTTTGCACTGCCCTCTGCTGACCCCCACGCGGCACAGATCCCCCACGGTCACTATCCGGGCTCTCGAACCTGCTTAGCCGGCACCGCTGTAGGCGTCGTGGTTGCCCGCACAACCCAAGGCACGTGGCACGATCGACAGGAATGCCGATCGTGCCGACGACGGAGCCTTTGGACGCGCAGCGGCGCAAGGGCGGGCCGATCGGCGCCGGGTCGGTGGCCATGCGATCGCCGTGCGGTGGAAACTCCTCTCGGCTCTCGCGAGGTGCTGGGGCGAGGCGGGGACGGGGTAGCAAACTTTGCCCACTGGGAGCCGCTCGCCTCCGGTCGTCTGCGTGCAGGCACGTGGCCGAGGCTCCGAGCGCGTGGCCGCTGCGGCAGTGGCGGCTGCGCGCGTGGATGCCCGCCTCTCAGCAGCGTGCGCGCGCTCGTGGTGCAGGTGACCCAGATCAAGATGCTGAAGCAGCAGGACGAGATGGTGGAGATCGAGACGAGCACGGCCATCTGGTACCGCCGCTGGATCGCGCGCGTCCTCTCGCAGCTCAAGGCCGTGAGTCGCGCGCGGTCGCCCCGCCGTGACCCCCGGGTCTGTCCCGGTGACCTTCTCTCGGCGAGCCTTCGACACTTGACGTGTCCTCAAAGTCCACCCAGCCTGGCGCAAGCGCCGTAGCGACGTGGCCGCCACTTCAATGGCGAATGGTAGCTGTTGTTGCTGTTGTTGTTGTTGTGTAGTTGTTATTATTAGTCTGCTTGTTTACCCAGGAAAGTCCCATGACTATTTTTTGCAGAAGGGTCCCGACACGTTTTAACGATAGGAGGCTGCGACGTTCCCCGCATGCCATCCAAATTAAGTAATTTTTCACATTCGGACCACGACGACGGCACGCAAATGGCTGGACTCTTGCAAATGAGGTCACAGGGTCTTCTGACATCCGCCCTGAAGCAGACGGCGTGTATTTCCGTGGTCAATACAACACCACCGCCGAGCCCCGCCGCCGTATTAATCGGGACGGCCGTTGTACTTCGAACCGTCGACCTCTGCAAACGATCGACGGAGCTCGCTTACTGTGGGGCCACGTCACCATGGGCTGCAGGAGGAGCAGCAGCAACTCCGAGTAGAGCCGGGCTATCTGACTCTTTAGGCCAGGGGGTCGGCAACCGAATAATAAGCCACTTTTGTTCGAATTCGGTAGGAAACTCATGATTCAAGAGCCGCGCGATGCATGCGGCGAGTACGAGATGGTGGCCCTTAATAAACAGCGTTACGAAGCAGGCGTTAAGTAGCTGTTGCCAGAACATTGCTCCCTGGACAGAAGCTCCCTTCTTCACTCGGCTGTCCGGATATGGAAGTGCCTCCCTGAACACATTGTCGGCGATATCACCGATTCTGGTCTTCAGGCCTTCGGATGCCAAGCTCACACACACACGGGGCATCTCCTAACTTCGCCACACGCCATGTAGGGACTGAGCCTTTGACCTGCAGTGACACCAATGATTACGCCGATTAGATGTACTAATGTCTGATATGGCTATTGTTCACAATAGCCCCCAATAAAAACACGATAGATAGATGATCCTTATGGCGGTACCCCGGGGTACCAAATAATACAAAATGGCCGAGGCAATTAAATATTTTATTTCTGGGACACTATTTTTCCCAGGGGTGTACTTCACTCTGTGACTGGGGTACCAATCAGTCCTGAAATCAGTGCCACACTCTGCGATGTCGAAACGCAGCGAGGACGATGATTGTGCCGAAACCCTGAACGCTCGCATGCACCGTAGTGGTGCATCGTAGTGTACAGCTCGTCGAGATGAGTCGATTGCCGCATCGCCGACCATCAACAGACTAAAAATGACTGCGTCACGGACATTATGCGAGAGCCGGGGTACCACCATGAGGTTCAGAAAAATAAAACATTAAAAATAAACAAATAAATGCGGCTCCGGAGCCGCAGGCTGCCAACCCCTGCTTTCACCATCGATTAAACCCCGACTCATCGGACGATGATAAAATATATATATATACGACGGCGGAGTATTTCCGCGGTTGCGCTGATGCGCGCGCGTTGCTCGGCGCGATGTCCGACGTTTGGCCCCCGCCCCCCCCCCCCCCGCGCAGATCTGGCGCACGCTGAAGCAGTGCTTCGAGCCGCAGCTGAAGCGGACGATGATGCAGCTCGTCGCCGTGTGGCTCCTGCTGTCGTTTGGGTGAGAATTCTATTTCTATTCTGTTTCTTTCTATTTTACCAGGCAAGGCCCATCGAGCTACACAGCTCTTTTTCACAAATAATAGCTCAACGAAGCGGCTCGTCGTCGCGTGGGAAATTCCTGCCGCCAAATACTCTGAACGCACGTTGATTCAAAATGTGGAGGGAAAAACCGGAGGACCCGGAGAAAAAGCCACGCAAACACAGAGAGAGAGAGAGACACGCAAACTCCAAATATACAGGCGTCAGCGTCGGGATCGAACCCACGACCTCCTGTATACGAGGCGAGGTAGTTAACATCTCGCCGCCGTGGCTGCTACTACCAATGATGATGATGATGAGTCTCTACAACAACGAAACGTGCTGGCGGAGAGATTGAGGGGCCCTGGTGTTGCGCGCACACCCCGAGGACACGCTGCCCACTTTGCCCCGCACCAGGTACTATGGGCTGAGTGTGTGGTTCCCCGAGATGATCAAGCAGCTGCAGGCTGACAACTACGCGTCGCACCTGAAGGAGTTCGACAAGGAGCGAGTCACCGACCAGACCTTCAACTTCACGCTGGAGAACCAGGTTCACCGCGACGGAGAGTACATCAATGACCGGTGAGCGCGTGCGTGCGTGCCCGGGGAGTACATCCGTGTATGTGTGTGTGTTGGCCACGTGTGTGTGTGTGTGGGCATGGGGGAGCTGAGTGGTCTTGCTGAAGACCGGTACCAGCGGTGTCAAGATCGGCCTTTGTGGAGGAGGCTCGTGAAGGACGCTACTGGGCCGTTGGAGGCAGTTGCCCCTCCAGCAACCACGGAGGGGAGAGGAGCGACGCTCACAACAACGAGCGGAGCGCCGGGTGGCTAAAATACAGCAAGTTGGCACAGTAGGGGGCACAGGTGGTGCATCGGCCAGTCATCTCAGTCGACCCATGGCACCTGGGTCTGTCCCATGACGTCCTGCCAGCGGGCGTGCCACACTTCACGTGGCCGTAAAGTGCACCTAGCCTGGCACAAGCGTCGTGTTGATGTCGCCGCCACTTAGTGGCGAATGGCGGTTGTTGTTGTCGATCACTCACAGTGACTGTCCCTCTGCTGGAGGCGAATGCTGTAGATGGACGCTGTATGTGAATTCTGTAGGTGGGCACTGTATGTGTATGCTGTAGGTGGTTGCTTTAGGTGAATGCTGTAGATGGATGTTGTAGGTTAATACTTTAGGTGAATGCTGTTGATGGATGTTGTAGGTGAATGCTTTAGGTGAATGCTGTAGATGGATGTTGTAGGTGAATGCTGCCCTGATCGCCTGTTAATAATTTGGCCACTGGAGGCAGGGATTGTCAGCCTAGTGCGGGAACGATGCTGGAGTCTGACTCTGCTGAGAGCACTCATTAAGATGCCACTGTTGCCCCGGCAACTCAGCCCCTTCACCCCCCCCCACCCCTCTCAAGCCTCCGACGCACGTGCTCGGTGCTTCGATTTCGAACCCTAGGTGCGGTTTTTTTTTTGCCGTAAGCGTTGTTCCGTATCGTCGCGACGCGTTCCGCCTCGCAGGTTCGTCAAAATCAAGTTCAAGCACGTCATCTTCGAGAATTCCCTCTTCAAGAACTGCGACTTCGATGACATCACCTCCACGAACACGTTCTTCAAGAACTGCACCTTCATCGGCACCACGTTTTACAACACAGGTAGAGTCTCCAGCGATGCTCCATTCGCAAATTTCGAGGAGGTGCCATCGCAGCAGCAATGCACCACTCCGTTACTCCTGACACAACCATCTCGCCCCACCACCTCGGTGTGGAAAAGTGAATGTCGTTGCTCTTCATCACGATCAGCCACGCGCAGAGGAGGAATGCTCCCCGGCCTGCTATCCTCAGGCAGTCTCCCATCCAAGCACAGTTATACGCCGACGTACATCTCCCCGTTTTATGTCATTTCGCGAATACATCGTCGCTTTATTATTATTATCGCTACCCAATTCGCGTCGCCTCAACGCCACGCTCACGTCGCTGACAGCGCCGTCCGTCCGTTCTCGTCATCTGTCGCCTCTCAGCCTTCGCCTCCACCACATACCCTGTGAATCCCTTTGCTTTACGTTGTTTCCATATTCGTCGTCGCACCTTTCAGAGCTCTGATGAGATCAGGCGCATTCAGAGTGACTTGCTGATGAGAATACTATTACTGGTAGGAACGAAGTTGTAAACTGAGTGTACCAGCCTGCAATAGATTAATGTGTCTGTCCGTCCGTCCGTCCGTCCGTCTGTCCGTCCCCTTTCAATACTTTAACGAAGTGAAATCTCGTGCTGTTGGGTGTAAAATCAGCAATAGACAGCGCAGAGACTTGTCCTATCAGCCCACCCTGCAGGGACCTGTTTAGACTGCATTATTATTACTGCCGTTTGGTGCCTGTGCTGCCTTAGATCTTTACGACTTCAAGTTCGTGAACAGCCGGCTGATAAACAGCACGTTCCTCCACAACAAGAAGGGCTGCCACATCGACTTCAGCAGCGACTACAGCGCCTACTGGGTCTACTTCGTCACCTTCCTGGGCACTCTCGCCGTGCTGCCCGGCAACATCGTCTCCGCGCTGCTCATGGACAAGATCGGCCGCCTCAACATGCTCGGTAGCGCCTCCAGCCGCCGCAGGGTTCACCCGCACCGCGCGTCCTGAACGCGGAGGTCGACGTGAATTTATAGCCGGGGACGGGCGGTGGGGGGGGGCTGGCGATGGTGGCGGCTACGCACGTGGCACGTGGCACGTGGCACGTGCTCTGGCACTGCGTCGGGGGGCGGGGGGGGCGGCGAAGGTTGGCGGATCGCCGCGCGAATGTCGGGAAACTCCCTTCCCGTCAGTGTCAACGAGGTTGTCCATACCCAGAAGCGAGCAGCGCTGCAAAAATGTTCCAAGTGGGTATGGGATAGAGCGTTTCCCCCTAGCATTTGTGTGGGTTTCTCCAGGTGCTCCGGTTAAAGGCCCACATGTTAACACTCATGAATTGGTCGATAACACCTTCATATAGCGTGCCATTGTGGCGAGATGTTAACTACCTCGCCTGGTTTACAGGAGGACATGAGTTTGAACCCGACCCTGACGCCTGTATATTTGGAGTTTGCGTGTCTCTCTGACCGTGGTCGCGTGGATTTTTCTCCAGGTCCTCCGGTTTCTCCCTCCACATTTAGAAACGTGCTTAGAGTACTTGGCTGCGATATATTTCTTCGTGATCAACAATGTAGAAAAACTGAGCCAGGTTACAGGGGACGGCAGTGCCCGGTAGAGACAAATGGGCCGAGAGGAGCTCAATTCCTTGCCCCGTGTGCCAGGTGGCTCCATGGTGCTGTCGGGGATCAGCTGCTTCCTGCTGTGGTTCGGCAACAGCGAGGCGACCATGATCGGCATGCTGTGCCTCTACAACGGCCTCACCATCTCCGCTTGGAACTCGCTCGACGTCCTCACCGTGGAGCTCTTCCCCACCGACCGCAGGTGCCCCGCCATCGGCGACCCACAGACGCCACCGTTGACGTCGTTGCCCTGAAACTCCCCACCGCTGGGACTAGGACCTTCCCCCCCCCCCCCCATTTCACCCCTCCACTCCTTCCTTGCCTCAGCTGCTCATGTCCGCTCGCGACCTTCGAACTCTGCGATGTCGCCTGCCGTTCCTTCCGCTGTCTCTCTCTGCTTCTCTTCGCTTCGCTCGGTCACCACTCGAATGGAGTTGGTTCCCTCTCTCATCGCTCCTCAGTCGTTCTCACGACTCCTCCACCGTCGCCGGCGGGACGTTGTTATCCTTGTGCGGCACACCTAGGCCACCAGAAACGGCTGGCTCCAACGAGCACAGCTGGCAGGCACGGCTCGCCTTGAGGCCCGTAACACCTGGCGCATACAGCGCACCCTAGGCCAGCAAACCTCACCTGTTCTTGTCGTTGTCGCTGCTGCCGCGGTTGTGTCTGCGCACGGTCAGGGCCACGGGGTTCGGGTTCCTGAACGCGCTCTGCCGAGCGGCCACGGTGATGGGGAACCTGATCTTCGGCTCGCTCGTCTCCATCACCAAGGCCATCCCCATCCTGCTGGCGTCCAGCGTGCTCGTGGGCGGCGGCCTCGTCTCGCTGCGACTGCCCGACACGCGGAACCAGGTCCTCATGTGAAGCCGACGACCCGCGGGAGGCGAGGGCAGGGAGCGGGCGAGCGGGCGATCGCGAGACGCAACCCTGCAACGTGATCTTGTGTGACGGGGCGGGGGGGGGGGGGGGCGGGGGGGCGGTAGGGGGGGGGGGGACTTATGATAACTTGGCGGGGGCGGGAAGGAGGTGCATGACACAGTCAATGTCAGACAAACGTTAGATGCTAAACACAACGAGTGAATTAATACGATTTTCCAAAATTTGGTCAATTGCTCACAGAGTTGCTGAATTGGTGAGACCAAACGGCAACATCGCTCCCCTTCTGGCAGACTGCTGCCCACCTGGTGGCCGGTGCTGTGTTCACCCGGGGAGAGCTGCCACACCTGCAGGGTATTCCATGGTGGTGGTGGTGGTGATCGGCTTGTGACCATTGTGAGTTCTGCTCGCACTCTCGCCCCCCAGTGTTGGATACGAGGAGAGGCTTTAACCAACAGTTCTTGACTTGACTGTCACAATTTAGAGAGGGGGCTCAGCCCCCTCCAGCCACCCCCCCTACCCCCAGCCACTACGGGGCTGGCGAGACGCTGCCAGCCTCGCCGGGGAGCGCAGAGAGAGGCTGCGTCTGATGCTGGACAACCCCGAGGAGCGAGACATTGATTCGCTCCGCTGTTGCTCTTCGCACGTTGTCGATAAGGGGGCGGGGGGAGGGGGGAGGAAGAAATCTCAAAAGAGTTGCAAATGTGCACCACTAACGTGTGTTGTGCGTGCGTTAGCCAACACAAGCGTGAAATGCATTTTTGTCGGTGATGTTCAGCACTCGGCGCCCACCTCTGTATTCGCCCTGACGACGCGCTGCTACTCCAAATTACTACGACGGTTATTTTGTTCAATCACAAGATGCCCACACGAATGCAAAGAGGCAGCGGGGTATATATATGTATGCAACGTACGGCGTTTGTCATAGGTGGTGGAGGTGCATCCCATTGCACGGCACTGCTGGAGAAATGGCATCCGCTCGTTGGAGCTACGGAGAACCCTCCCAGAGGGCCGTTGGCCTATTATGAGAAAAGGTTTTCCCCTTTTTCTGGCAACAAGACAGCTGTGTTAAGATGTTAAAACATCAAACTGAAACCTTTTACAAGGAATCGTGTCTGCATTAACCACAACTTGTGGTCATGAATGCAAACAAATAATATACACTGATAATATATGCATTGTCTTTGAAACTGAATGGTCCATACCATGGTGTTTTAACATCTTAACACCTGTTTTGTTGCCAGAAAACAAAAGGGGAAACCCTATTCTCATATTTTGGTACTGGAAAAGGAGGTCCCATGAAGTTGGCCTTTTCTTCCACACTGCCCAGACATGTATACATATATACACACACGTGCGTGTGGGTATATATGCATTGTATATACAGAGGTCATTGCGTGGCTTAGGGCAGCTATAGGAATGGAAGTCAGTTGCAGGCAGCTTAGAGGAGACACACGTACACAAACAAAGACAAAAATCCCCCGTATACCCTTGACAGATTGTTGGGCAACTGCCGTTAGCGAGCAGCACCTATGAAGGCCGGCACGGCACACGAGGGAGTGGGTGACCAGCACCACGCCCGTACACACACATGCACACGCATACGCGATGGGTGGTCAAGAGTTCGTCCGCTGACCTTTTTACCCCCCCCCCCCGATTTCTCCCACACGCACAAAAAAAACATTCCAATAATATTTTTTGGCCAAACATTGCAATAACAAGGACCTTCTTTAAATTAAAAGTGCTGAGGCAATCGGCGAGGCTTTCCTTGATAGGTAGAGAAATAATATAGCCGTTTTTGTTTTTATCAACTGCCAGTGAGAAGAGTGGGTTCAATATGCAAGGAGGCGTTGTGCATCCGAGCGGGTGGATTCACGTACGCCGCGTGGCAGACCGCTCGTTGATAGGCCGGGTCAGGGCTGGTTGGGGCCCGTTTGGGCCCCTGCAGACATCCGCTGCCCCGTGCCAAAGGTAGAATCATCGCGCACGAATCTACCGCTAATGGCTGATAAAACACCCGGGCCCACATCGTCTGCGATGAGCGGAAAAGACGGCAGCGATCAGTTCCGTCCAGTAGTTACATTTAGTGCATAAAATAACAACAACAATAGAACTGGTAGTGTTTTGTAACGTTGCGAAGGTAGGTGGCATCAAAGTGCGGTAAATTGCAATATGAATATTCACGTAAATTTTTTTTGTTTAAAGGAGAGCTGGTTTATTTTGTTGCTGTTACCGTAAGAAATGGCCACGACCGAAGCGAGAACGTTCGTGCTTTGTCAGATTCATATCGGCCCCGATGATGAAGCGTCCACGCGCGTGCCTGTGTGCGTAGTCCGACTGACTGCCGTGATCAACGTTGGCGTTTTTGATTGAATTGCCCCCCCTGGCGTGCTCATCGGGGCCTTGCTAGTGCTATTAGGTGTACGTTATATTGAGTCTCCCGTCTCCCTAAGTCAATGAGTTAAAAGAGGAATATGAAATGCATACAGCTGGGTGTATACTAGGTAGTCAGACACTACCGTAACCAAAGCACCATTTTAAACCAAATGGGATTTTGTGAAAATTGCTTCCCCTCGACTGGATCTTTGGAGAGCGTATGTCCCTGGTGTCCAGGAGGTTCGGAGTTTTTCTTTGATTTCGTAGGTTTCTCTTGCGCTTGAGTCGACAGAGGTGGGTGGTAGTGGCGGGGGGGGAGACAAAGGCCTCTCCGCTTGTGTCGTTGAATTCATCTGCCGGAGCGAGGAGGGCTGCGTGAGTGAGCGTGCGACCCACCACGTGTTTACTGAGGCCCGAGGACCGAACCGTGCGGAGAGAGGGGGCAGCCATCAGTTACTCGGGACCAGCGTTAAATTTGTTCACGAAACTTTATTTTTTGTTTTTTTTACTTGAGCCAATGATGACCGCGAGTGGCTGGAAATCATCGAGCGTGACGACGACGATGACGACTTACCAACTGAAAAACCGCGGCACGACTCGCAGTGACGAGACGAAATAAACGTGTCGGAATGAAGACGCAGACTAAGATAATAAGATCATTCGTTGTTCGCGACCGCAGTGTGCCGAGCTGCAGCAACATGGTCATTTGTTGTGTTTGTGTGTGTGTATATATACTAGGCTCGCTGACCTAATAACATTGGGAGAGGGAAAGTTGCCTGCTTCTCACAGCAATATTTAATAAATCAGAGTGGGGACTACATTTTCGGTTGATTTAGTCAACTAGACTTCGAGAATGGGTATATGAAATCCACGGAAAAAGGCTAAACTGTACAGGTTGTCGTCATCAACTCTGCTAAGACGAAAATTATAACAAACTCCGACTAAGTTAACACTGCCCGGTGCCTCCTCTTGTCTCCTGTCATTTCACCTCCTCATAAACTATACTAAACAATTTTGTTTTATTTCACCAGGTAAGGCCCACAGAGCTATATAGCTCTTTTTCAGAAGCAACCTGGCCACAACCGATAGCTTGAAGAAAGTGGCTTATCATGTGCACATTTATTTCAGCCAAATACTCTAAAAGAATGCCGATTCTAAATGAGGAACGTTAAACCGGAGGACCCGGAGAAAAATCGAACCACGGGGATAACACGCAAACTCCAAATATACAGCAGCAGGCGACAGGGTAGGGGATTGAACCCACGACCTCCTGTGTACCAGGCGAGGTAGTTACCATCTCGCCACTGCTGGCGTGGTCACCATTGAGCTCCATAATTGCGTAAAGAGCGCAGCCACCTTCAAGTTACGTTGGGATGCATTTTCTGTTTTTGTTAAATGGACCATAGTGCTTACACATTGAGACCCCTGACATTTGTAAGCGTAGCCCACGGCCCACAAGCACAAGCGATCTCAGTCCTAATGCAGCACAGTTTCAGCACAGCCTAGGCTTAGGTCAGGACCAATTGAATCTATCGGTGCACACACACTGCACCTCCGATTAGCACGGTTGGCTACGTACGCTGCGAAATAAGTTCAACATACAGACCACGCCAGATGTTCCATTTTGTGTGGCCATGCCATCCGAATCTGGCTTATTCAGAAGAAAGTAGAAATATACAGGTGCCAAAAAATATTTAAATAATTTGTTTTGTAGTATATACTTGAATATATATATCATAGACATACATATATGGACGTTAATTCGGGAGAGAGGAATATGCACTTCGGAGAATAAATGTTCATGTTTGGTGTGGATCCAACGCTCGCGAGGGGCAGTGAGTCAAGGTGGCTGACATCACGGACTATCGTGTGCCTCCAAGGTCCCAGGTCCCAGACCAAACGCAGATCAACTGGTCTCAAAGACACACAACTGTGAATCCGCAATGTGCCACATAATACGATCGCAAGTGACTCCAGCATTCGTTTATGGCTTTTGTTGAGGATGTTGATTCGTTCTAGGATGGGAGAGGGGTGGGTGGGGCATTGATGATGATGATGATGCAGTTTTAGTTGCTGTGGAACAACCTGAATATTATGGATTGGAGGTGATGATCTGGAGCACTCATTCATCCTCCGTTGTGAAATTCCGTTCAGCAAGGTTAGTAGGATGACCTGTGCACTTACTCTTATGCCTGTCACCGAAATTCTGTGAATACAGATTACCGAACGAGATGGTAAAACAAACACATTTCTAGACACGATGAGGTGGAAAAACGAGGGCTGTGTCGAGCCGCAGGGGGAAACTCGACAGGAACACAACGCTCGTGCGGACATTCCCGCATTGAAGGGGAATGTTAGGCAGTCACTTTTAGTTTCGAGGGTGCAAAGGAAGAAAAAGTGTCGGGTGAAATTTACTCTGACTGGGAATTGCCCGAGGGACCAGTCATTTCTACTGCAATACAGAGGCGTGACTTGGACACGTGTGGAAATTTAATTCACGACTTTTTATTGGTCATTCTTAGATGTTGTACAGTGTGAAAATTTGTACGATTAGTGTGCACAATATTTATTAGTTATTTATTATTTATTTGCCCTACGTTCAGCGCCGTTGCGAGTGTTTGTGGCCCGATGTGGCTTTTAGAATTTGACAAAATAGCGGGCGAATTTCAGCCTGCTATAAAACAGTACATGCTACTCAGAGTA